AATGCCTAAGAAAATGAAGGCTTTGTGTCTAACACATGACTTGTTTGGTAAATAAGACTAAAAAACATTTTTAAAAACTCTTTTTCTAGAAAGACTGACTGTGGCTTTGGACTAAAAGCTCAAAATTCCATTTCTACATTAATTACACTCTATAAAATTCCCAATGTTAAGCGGAGATTGAGCGCATTATCGAAAACAGTTCTACAAAAGGCAATGGGATTGTTAACTCTGAAGAATGACATTTTATTTAACAGACAGCATGGACTTCATCCATATCCATTATCAGTGCTTTTAAAACCAAACAACTTTAAAAGTTAGCAGCAGTTTCTGCATGTACAAAAATACACATTTATTACATAACATATGGTAGTAAAATTTATCAAGATATATTATACAAACTCAAAGCATTTTAGATAAAGCATCAGTCTCATATATTACAGAGTGATGTAAAATAAAATGGCATATAGTCTGTCTTCAAATCACACAGTATATTTTACAGCAATATTAACATATTCACATTATTACAGGAGTATCTAAGTGAACACAAAGAATAGGATAGGTTATTAAAGAACCTCAGTAACTGTTTTCTTCTAATCCTTCTAATCGAATGGATGATTTTCTACCTGCCAAAATGAAAGAAAAAAGGCTAGAACTATTTTCATAGGAAGGGAAACAGTGTTTTCCAGAAAAACACTCCAAGCCACAAGAGCTTCATTCACATCTTGCAGTTCTGACAGTAGTATGCCGTAAGGGTAAGGTAAATCCCTGCTAATTTTATATATTACACCACAAAAGGTGTGGACAATTAGGAGTCTTAACATGGGAGGAGTTGGTTATAAGGTGAAATCTACTTCACGCCTGTGACTGAACTGGCCAGGGTCATGCAGGAGCCTTTTGGACACAGAGTTCTGAAAGTTAATTATAATGATTAGGGCAAAGAATGCCATGTCCTCAAGGGGAAGGTAGCGCCTATAGCTAATACCAAAATAACTTCCATCTTAGAGAAAACATTTTTTCCCTATAACTGGAAATGTAACCTTTAGGACAACAAGGAAAAACATTGATATGACAGTTTTCTGGTGACTGATAAGAAAAAACAATTTGGAATAAGCTAGTTTGTGGGAGAAAGGACCATTTGATGGTGGACTAAAGAGTTCAAATGGACTGTAAGCAACTTCTTATAGTAAATAGTTTAAATGAAGGAAGACGCACATCCATTTTTACTGCTATCCCTTCATTCTGGTCTGCAATGCTTATGGTCTATTCCTGGGTGAGGAAATGAACTGCTGTAACCTTTAAGGAAAGAGAAAGGTCCATGGATATGAAATAAACCATGGATATGAAATGAGGTATAAACCATGAATCATTTGGGTGAAAAATATAGAAAAACTTCCAGAAGTTAGAAAACCCAAAGCCAATGAACATCTGATAAGGCCTGACAGCCACTTTGTTCGGTATTCTATCCAGGGACTTCTTATAATTTACCAACTTCTAGATTGCTCTCTCAATTACAAAACTACAAAAATCAGAAAAACGATTTATCTACGGCCCTCCCACCCTGAACACACCCGATCTTGTCAGAAAAACAATTTATGTCTACGGTCCGCCCACCCTGAATGTGCCTGATCTCATCAGAAAAATGACTTATGTCTATGGCCCTAACACCCTGAACGCAACTGATCTCATCAGAAAAATGACTTATAAGTAACTTTTTTTCCGGGCTGACTGTAATCTGAGGGTAAGGGCGGCAGAGAAACACCTCAGCAAAGAGGTGCCAAGCTTTCACATGATTGATGGTTTATACCTCCTTGGTTTAAGCCTCCATGATTTATGGCTCCATGGACCTTTCTCCTCTCTTTTGCCATAAAAGGTTACACCAATTCATTTCCTCACCTAGGAATAGATCATTAGGCCTTGCCAACTAGTATAAAAATGGATGTGTGTCTTCCTTTATCATAACTACTTGCTATAATGCTTTGATTACATGTTGGTAACAGCACTTGTGTAACTGAGAAGGGACTGTTGCTGCACTCTTTTCCTGCATGCTGAGACAGCGAATGCTGTCAGGAGGTCACCTTCTAAATAGGAAAAGTTACATTTTTGGAGAATGTTTCTAGCACAGGTACCTAAGGAAAGGGCATTGAAATGAGCAACCATTCCCTTCTTTCTCCTCACATCTTTTTCTTGGAGCCTTTGCAAAGCAATTCAACACTAATGGAAAAACAAATCAACTAACAACAAACAAAAGTTATAATATCATGGTACCGGGGGCTCTTGAATCACTCCAGTTTTCTTCACGCTAGCTGAATCAATGGGCTGTTCCTGGAATGATCCTGTGACGACGTGACTATAAGATACCACAGAATGGCCACTGGCTTAGATTTGAGGAAAGGGTTTACATGACTTCCCTCTTTATCAGATATGCTTTTCTTCTTTTGCTTTGAGTAGCAG